ACTACCATCGCCCCACACCTCCGAATCGCCCATCTTAATCCTCTTGTTCTGTCTTATTGTTTAATAAAAACATAATTGTTTTTAATCTTTTAGAAACCATTAAAAACCACTAACACTGATGCTCTAAGAAATTTCGTTTTTTGTCTTTGATTTATCGGAAAAAATGAGCGATAATCACACAATTATTATACAATTTTGGATCTTCAAAGACTGATTGGACTAAAAAAAAGTCATTAAAATTTGCGAAACTTTATTTTCCGGTTTGAAATTTCTTGTTTAGCTCCAAAATCGGAAAAAACAAATCCAAAGAAAAGAGAAAAAGTCTCATTCTTCAGGCTTCCTCCTTCATGGGATCTGCATCTGAAGAATTATCACTCTCAAATTATTCCTTAAACCCTCTTGATTTTTCTCACCAAACGCGTCTTTCTTTTTCCTCCATTAGCAAGAAATCGAAAAAGTTTTTTTTCTTTTTCTTCATCTTCAGATTCTGTAAACGAATTGTTGCTTTGACTATGCATAGATCTGGTACTACAATGGCATGGAACGTATTCAAATTCTGTACAGCTTTACGAGGTCTTGGATCCATCATGATCCTTTTGGTTCTTGGTGTTGTCGGTGTTATATATTACGCAGTTGTTTTGACTAATTATGGACTAGCTCTATCTCAAGGCGGGTTTGATTCTATTACTGCTCTTACCATCTTAATCCTCTTCCATTTACTCGTAAGTGAGCTCAAAAGCTTCGTACTTTAGTCAATTCGATCAACAAAGTTTGGTTTTCTTTGTCATGTTTTTGTTGGTATGTTCTGTAATAGATTGAGGCAAAGGATGTGTTTTTTTAATTTGATGTAGCCGGGATGCTTTTGCGGAGCTACTTCTCTGTTGTTTTTACTGATCCTGGTGTTGTGCCTCTTAATTGGAGACCAAGTACTGATGAAGAAAGAGGTGAATCTGATCCATTAAATAGTTTGGAGTTTGTCGGTTTACAGATCGATTCTTCGAACCCGAGAATTCGGTTTTGTAGAAAATGTAATCAACCGAAACCTTCCCGTTGTCATCATTGTTCTGTTTGTAAGTTTATTCAGATTCTTTGTTCTTTACCATATATATGGAGTCTTGAAATTGTGATTGTGAGGTTGATTATGTTTACATTGCATCGAATCAGGTGGTCGGTGTGTGTTGAAAATGGATCACCATTGCGTTTGGGTTGTGAATTGTGTTGGAGCGTTGAATTATAAGTATTTTTTTCTTTTCTTGGTAAGTTTCTTTTTTGGACTAATGTTTATCGAATCTTCAGCTTGTAATCGGATTCGTGTTGTCAATAGCTTTTGTGTGTGTTTCGAAATGTTTCAAATGTAGTTCTACACGTTTTTAGAGACGACTCTTGTGACTCTAGTTCTTATGCCGCACTTCATAGCGTTCTTTAGTGACGAAGAAATGCCTGGAACCCCGGGCACTCTTGCTACTACTTTTCTTGCATTTGGTATGTTTGGACTTTCCTTATACGTGTATACGGCGTTTCGTGTATTTTTTTTTCATCTATTGATTAATCTCACCTTGTTTCGTCATACAACAGTTTTGAACTTGGCGTTTGCTTTGAGCGTAATGGGTTTCTTAATCATGCACATTTCGTTGGTGGCTGGTAATACCACAACGATAGAGGTAATTCCCTTTTTTTTTGCTCTCGAAATGATACGCTTTGTTGCATTCCCATGGCTAAAGATTCGTCCTTTCTTTATCTTAAATGAAATTTTACGTCTTTAGACTCTTCATGGTTTCGGTGCATCCCATAGTTCCGAGATTTTTATTGCTCTAGTGAGAATTCAGGTTTCTTTTAGACTCTTTACATTTACTTGGTGCAGCTCATGGCTAAAGCTCCGGAAATTTCTTTCCTTAAACGAGAATTAGGGTCTATCTCCATTTCCAGAGGATAATTTTTTCACCGTCTCATTTCTGATCAAAACTTTCCTGGTGTTGAATTGTGAGCAGGTATATGAGAAGAAAACCAGTACGAAATGGCGGTATGACCTCGGTAGAAAGAAAAACTTTGAACAGGTTAGTCTTCTTCCATTCTTATTATATCACTTCAAAGTTATTAGTTCTTTTCTTTTCTCCTTTATGTTAATGATTTTTTGGGGATTCGTCCTTTTAGGTATTTGGAATGAATAAGAGATACTGGTTCATCCCAGGATACACTGAAGAAGATCTAAGGTGAATACCGGAACTCCAGGGACTTGAATACCCTTCGAAACCCGACTTTGATTCCCAGTAATTCTGAAGAAGATGACGTTGATCATCATCATCATCCCATTGTAAAACAATAATAGGTAGAAAAAGAGAGACACTAGAAATGACATTTGAAGGAGAACATCTACTAACTTGAAGAATGATGCTTCACTTCACACGGATGCCAAAATCGTCATTAACTTTATGGGGTTTTAAATGGTGGATTACAATTTAGCTTTGTTGGCTACACATATATATGTTCATCTTCTTGAATAGTTCATATATTGATCTTCTTATGAATGTAGAAAGAAACATATGATTTATACCCTTAATCCTCCTTCTCCTTTGTTGTAAACAGCTTTAATCTTTTAAAGCCTTATTGTTCAGTGAATTAACAGGGCTCTAAAACGAAGAAAAGACATTAAATTTCGTTGAACTTTATGCCATTTATAGCATAATCCCTTTTGAGAAAGATTGACCAAAACAAGAAGGCAATCAAACGAAACATATGTAGCATTCAAATAAGGCAAAGCAAAACTCAAACATCAAGATCCTTAATTTTTGTCACATAATTTCTTAGAAATTGAAACACAACAAATACGAAAAACAATACTCAAAAGTAAGAAAGAAAAGGCTAGTTTTTAACTAGCAATGGATAGGATAGATATTGAGACCAAGTTTCATCAAAAGCATTCGATAGTAAAATCTTCGTTACCTAGGCGTTTAGATAGTTGCCTTAGCTTGTCCATATCTGCGTGTACCTTTAACTTCTTCATTAGATGATACTTTGACACTTCGACCATCATCTTCTCAATCACCATCTTCTGTGTCACAAAATGCGAAGCTAATGCAAATTCTTCTTTAATCGAACTGTCGAAATTATACATCCACACAGTATGAACACGGAAGTCAGCGGAAGGGATCGGTTTTGCAGCATTCCAAAATTTGTTATGAGCTCTACCACCATTGATACCGTCTTCCTTAGAAGCATTGTTCTACAAGACAAAACATGAGTGAGAAAAATGATCAAAATATATAATAACATTGGAATTTATCCATGAAATGAATACCTTGAACAAGATTTCAAGCTCTTTTATTTCGTCACCCCACATAAGCAATACTTCCTTGAGTATCTCCACTTCTTTTGGATCATTTAGATCAACATGCACTGATAATGATCCATGACGCTTTTTATCATAAATGTCGCTCACCATAAGCTTATGCCAAACGCTTCGTTTCTCCTGGAGAAACATAAACATCAAACATGTCAAAATATGTTATTCTCTAGATAATCAAAGTATGTAATTGTTTGTACCTGAGCGAGATGAGAGATGTTGTAGCTCATGTGAGGGTAAGGAAAACCGCGATTAGTCCAATAGTTTTTGTTAAACCTGAGGTTGGGTGCATCGAGGAAGAAGTCATAATTTTTCTCACACTGGATAAACTTGATGTCAAGAACATCTAAAGAAGCTGCATACACCCGAAACCTATCAATTTTATCATGGAAGATGACTTGTAAGAACTTCAAATTGATGTTTTCGATCTTCAACGCATCACGTAGACGTAATTTGCTACGGAGTTCCAAGACAATAACCTCAAGGGAGGAGCAAGCAGCTAAAACTTCGCTAACATAACCAGCTCGAGTGGTGGTGATGTTAATCAACTTAAGGGTCTTAAGATTCGAGTAATTCTTGAAAGAGCGTGAACCTATCATTCTATATCCACAAAGTGACAATGAAGTGAGGCTAGGATAAGAAAATGTGTCCGGATCCATGTCAAAAATATCATAATCGACACGTATCTGGTAATTCACAAGGGTGAGCTCTTTGGTCTTTTTCAGACGAGTCACTGCATCGATCACATATTTGAGCGTACTACCATAACATTGAGATATGTAGTGATGGATAGTGCAGCTCTCTAGGTCGCCACAATGATTATTTATAACCTTCACAAGTCATAACACAAAATGATTAGAAGTTTTAAAAATAAAACTTTTAAAATTTTTCTAAATTTTATTTGTTATCTATGTACAAAGATATGCATGCAATAGACTATGTCAATATCAAAACCTATATTGCATATATCAAAAGTTAATTTGTTCAATTAAAAAGCCATTTAAATCATAAATCATGTACCATATAATTTTTTTTCTGCGAGAAATATCGTTATCTAATTATACTATACCGTTATTTCTGGCGCATAGATTATCAAATACAACCATAATTAGAATTTAGAATTTTGGCATGCTCGTTATCTAACAACATCTTTAACAAACATTGAATAATGTATTTAAAGGTCGTAGAATAACATCCTAGATTTGATTTCACGATTTATGTTGATAACATTTCTTCTACAACAAAACCCAAAGGCACTATATTTCATCTATCCAAACATCATGTTCAAAGGTCAATCTATTTGTGTATTCTTAAAGAAAAAGATTGAATAAATAATAAGAAAATTAACGAACCGTGGTCGATTGACTAGCCAAATTTTGAGAAACTTCATGCAAAGGATTAGTGGTGGTTGGTATCTTGACCTCTAAATCCTTTCTCAAATCCAACTCAAGAGTAGGCCTCCATCTCCATAGATCTACCCATCGTGACGATAAGACATTTGTCTTCACTGCCTCTGCGGTTGACAATCTCGAGAGAGTGTTGTGTAATAGTTCGTCGGGGAGCTTGCTGATCAAATCCTTTTCATCGATCGAATATTGGACCCTCTTGCTTCTTACATCAATTGATGATGATGATGAGCGTGCAGTATGTGACGGTGTCTTCATTGTTGTCGGATCGAAAAGAGAGAACTGAAACTAAAGCGAGAGAGAATGGAGTTTAAGTTGTGAGTGAGAGAAAGAGAAGATGTATCTTATTATATATGAAAAGCGAGTCGTAACGGCTGGGAATTGGACCAAAAGTTTAAACCCTAATTCAATTGTTTAATAA